AGATTTTGTATTTAAACTTATGTAGAATGATCTCGAATAGCGGAATCTAACCTAAGTATCTTTCAAATCAGTCTGCTTTTAATAATAGAGTGCGCACACCTTTGACTTGTGTAGTCTCGCTTTGATTCCTATGACCTAATATGGAGGTGCATACTACTCGATTTTTAGTTGTGCAAATAAACAGTTGAATTGGCTGCAAAACAATCGACAATCGCACAACAGTCGTGCGATAGTTTAGATTCAGATGCGCACGCTCTTAATTAACATTTTACACCATAGAGACAAGTTTATAGACAATTAAGTTTATATAAACTTAATAAAGTAATGAAAAAATTACCGAAACAAAAAATATTCAAACTTCCAAAAGACAAAACGGAATCGGATAACAATGAATGTTTTTTGTAATAATGACTCAGCCGTGAAAGTGAAATGGGTCATATCTCCACCATTTGTCTATAAAGAAATGCTCTATGTCTTGTTACAATTTAACCTCGATTCTTCTTAAATTATGGTCGATTTGAATAAACGGAATACAAGTTAGATGTATCTTTATATTTTCATTTCAATAAAATAGACCCAAAGATAGTAAAATACCGCGAATGTTGAAATTAAAAATGAATATTTTAGTGAACAAAAAATTAAAGATTTGAATTGAAAGTTAAATTTTAAAATAAATACATTTATTTATAGTTAAGTCATTGTTAAGATTAAAAAGAATAATAATCTATACTAAGAATACAATTAGCGAGCTGTTACTCGAATCTTCGTCTGCACGGAAGTTGAAATACGATAACGTAACTATTTTTTGGTAAAGAATTTTTGAAATCGGCCCAGTATTTTTTTTAATTGTTTCAAAACATACAAAAATTAAAATCTTTCCTCTTTACAATATTATTCTTTCTAGATCTATACGTAGATAGACAATAAAATAATGCTAGTAACGTTAATAAAATCATATCACCCACGTATAATGTAGACGGACAGACAAACAGTCGTTGTTGAGCGGTTCAGTAATTGGTTGGTTATACGAGCGTCATACTGCTGGTTATTACTTGACGAGATTACATTACAACGGTATGACTCAAATGTCAATGTGACAATGTGTTCATATGATTAAGTCGGGGTCTAGTTACTAAATATATACCATGATTAGTACTCTAACTATTGACTTGAGTATTACGAGTACATAGTACATTGGCTTATGGGAAAATTTTGTATTTTTTGGGATATGTTACTATGTTTGTTCTGCTTGTAAAGTAAACTCTGGCCGTTTTGAAAGGGCGATACTTCTCTCGATGAAGACTTGAATAAAAAAAAATCGTTAATTTGAATAATTTCTATTGCTTGCGATTTTGTCCGTGTCATGTCACTCATTGATAACGTAGCTTTTTAATGGTGAAAGAATTATCTCGGCACTGTAGTTTTGACTGATTTAATACATACAAAAATACAAATCTTTCCTCTTCATAATATTAGTACAGATATAGACTATGATTTAGGACATTATTGAAGAAATAATGAAAAACAATACAACAAAAGTTTTATAGCTATTTAATTGGATTTATTTTAATAAGAATAAAAACATAAAAGAAGATGTTCCTACAAATATTTGTTAGACGGCGACAGTTTAATATTTTCCATTAAACTTGCAAAGCTTATTGTACAAATAATAACAGAGATCTAAAATTTCCTCGAAAATAAATCGCGAGCTTCGTATTCTCGAAGTTTTAGAGTTTGTTGGAGCGCTAAAATGCCTTCGAACCTGTTCCAAGTTTTATAAGTTAAAAGTTTGTTGTGTGTATAGGACGTAAGCGTGTTAGAAATTGAAATTATTATGTCTTATCTGAATGAAACCAAAGTCCGTCAAAATATTATAAATTTTGTCAAAACGTTTAGAATTTTATGAATTTAAAAAGTGTTTAGTGCTTTCTTTGATTATATAACAAACAGGAATAGGGAACATCATTTACTAGATAATGGTAATCATCTCTATAACTTTGTTAAAATTGAACGTAGCAACGCTACGGTTAGTGGAGTACGAGGGGAAGAGAATGTCTATGAAAATATGCAACATTTTAGATACCCAAGCTAATTTGCTTTAACAATATTATTATTTCATTTCATAAAATATCTGAGTTACATTACCTAAATGGGTAGCTGTAATTATCGTCATCTTTATTCCTCAGTTCTTGTTATTGCAAGAATTTAAGACGCCTGCTTCTTCCGAATATCGCTCTTGGATTTTGACTATCGAAACACAGGCCTACTTATTTTTTTACATTTCCACTGCTGCGACCTCAACTGAAAAAGAAGGAGTTACGCATGGCCTAGTGGAATAAGGATCTATACAACACAGCATATAAAAACAATTTGTGCTAATTAGGAGCTGAGAAGTGATATTTAGTTTATATTTTTATTTCAGCGATTTAATAAGAAAATAACAGCCACTTAAAATGTAATAAAACCTTGAAAGAATATTAAAACGATGAACTACGATACCATTGGTTAGTAGCCCCTTTAGTGCTAATGTGGCGTTTTATTTTAATTTGCTCATTTCAACATAGTTTTGGCTTTCGTCCAAAGCATAACATAGTTGCAAAGTTGCGTACTTAACAACTATATTACTCTTATGGCAACTTAGAAACTTTCTAATAGGCACTTACTTTCAAGTTTTATCTACTTAACATATAACTTATTTAAAAAAAGATATGATTTATGTTAATTAAGTAATCACTTATGTGTATTATATTTTTCAATCCTGTCATTTTGTAATTGTTATTTTACTGTTAATGACTTGTATTACTCATGGGCCTAATAGTAAAGTAATTTAAACTTAAATTAATAAAACCGTTACCAAGTTCCTGGCATTATTGTTAAATCTCTAGCGAGACATAGAGAAACATTGGCAGTAAAAAGTTTCCGAGATACTTTTTTAATCTTATAAAAAAATATTACTGATTTAAAAGTAAGCAGAGATTTTACTATTCCTACAAAAAAAATCATTTTTGATGCTTCATCTCTTGTTTAATCGAAACCCTTTATAATCTACTATCTTTTTTTTGTTCCTTTATCTTTCCAAAGAAAAAGACCTTTTGTCTGCCTCACAGATTCCAACTTCGAACAAAAGAAACAAAATTCATTCTGTTACAATACTCAGGCAGTTGAATGGCATCCTTCATATCTCAGCCAACTTTTCTTACATTACTTTACGACCCGACGTTCCCTTATTCTCTTTAAGATAACGGACCTAAGTTTGAACGAAATACAGTTTACTTAGGATCGCTTGCAAGTTTCAAATGTTTGTATGAACTTTAAATTTTGTTCGGAGCAATTAAAACCTTTTTAAACCTGGCAACATTCCCAAGATCGATTACGTTTAAGTGTGGTTATGAAATGAGGCCTATGTCGAAGGACAACCTGACACGCAACTGATGCTGGAAAATGAAAATGTACATACATAGTTTATTTACTTTTACATTTAACTTTTATATTGTTATGTTGTTATTAAATAGTTAAATTATTAAGGAGTAAAAGGTTAGAGGTATGGGCATGTTATGAGAAGGGATGAATCGCATGTAACAAGACGGACGTTAGTTATGAATGTGGAAGGATATACACCGGTAGAGGTAGACCCGGTGCCTCGATCCTACGGGAGTAGGATAAGACAGTTGAGATGATGATGATGCTGTTATTAAAAAGTTGTAAATACAGTAAAATAGTAAATCGTATCTATGAAATAAGTCAGGAACATGGAATTTGAGAGGTGAACACTTTATCTACAAAGTTTAGATCCTGATTTGGTATATATAACCGGACATATAGTCACCAGTATGTCGTTTATTGTATTATTAAATTTGTTATCACAGCCTGCAACAATGTTCCTTTGGATAAGTTTAAGACTTGCTTTACTCCCCGAGGTTTACTTTTATTGGTCGTTCAGGCTTCAAATAAAACACGAGCGACATCAAACCATGATAAGACCGCACAACTATAAAGATTGATCGGAGCATAAAACTAAAGCCATTTAAGCTGTACCAAGCTCAATATAGTGCAACACCTTTCTAGATCGTACTCTTCTACTCCGACTATTTTATTCTGGCAATACCTTTGAAAAAAGCATAGACATGAAAGGTTCCATTCTATGCATAACAAAGTAATTTTCTTTTGTTTTATTTTAAATTAAGGAATTGTGTCAGAAAATTCAACATGTATGCTTACTATTTATAATACTAGTTTTCGCCCGCGATTCCGTCCGCGTGAAATTAAAAAAAAAACGAAAAGTAAGTAACCTGTATTCCATACTATCCTCTATATCTATGCTAAATTTCATCGAGGTCCGTTCAGTAGTTTAGGCATAGGTTAACTTTCGCATTTTAGATTAGAAGTCGAGGTTCGGATAACTGTATATTTTAAAAACCTTGCCATACTTTTTGTAAAAGAAAACCTATAAATGTGCTACGAAAAATATTCTTTCTACCTATTCACCCTAATAGCACATTAGTCCTATTGTTGCGATTCCCAATGTAAAAGGCAATTTGACGAATGACTCTCCCTTTGTTAGATCATCTTTTGTCGTCTGAGTAAGGGAAGTCGATGAAAGTCAATGACAAATGAAGTTTCAAGTATATACATCCCGATATAATTCCAGAAATATTTTGTATTGACTAGCACTACCGATGGATTTATTCTGATAAACAAATGATACGTAAATGGAATTCCAATTGATTTGACGGAGGAAACCTGCCCTTCCTATGCGTCCCCTCAGTCGATTAGAGGTTGGTAACGCATCTGACATTTCGGTTGTCTATGGTCTATGGAAGTCGGTCGCTGCACTATTTTGGCCAATTAAGATGGCCGTTTGTTTGCAATAGTCTACCAATCGTTAAGGTTCAAAAGCTACCAGATAACAACAAGATTTCACCCTCCTTTATCTTTCGTTAATTCATCATCTCAGTCAGACTTAATAATTCCATTTTCCAAGGATAAGAAATAAAACAAAATAGCATTTAATATCATTGTAATTCTCCACAATTGCTGATAGTGACTTTGGCGGAGACAGAGCCGCTCTTGCTGCCGTACCTCTCCATCTTCTTGAGCACATCCAAGCCCGATATCACATGGCCAAACACCACATGCTTATTGTCCAACCAATCCGTTCTGGAAATATAAAAACATTAATAACAGATAAAAATAGATAAATTCAATATCAAGAATTTGCGCGTAACAGACCTAAATCTATAAAGATTTAAAAAAAATCTAATTTATGACTGCTAATTTATTACTGCTTGCAAATCTTTGGAATATTGATTAATTGTCTATTAAAATTATCTAAACAAATAAAATAAAGACCAAAGATTTATATTTTTAGATTTTTATATGTATAAACTCAAAAACTACTGGGTCAATTTCAGAAATTCTATCAACATTAAAAAGCTATATCTTCATTGAGTAACATTGGCTACATTTTTACTATTTTAATTTCACGAGGACGAACTCGCGAGTAACAACTGGTTATAAGTAATTTAACTTCACGTCATTTTATGCCCTCTATAACAAAGCAATGTATACATACTTGGCAGTACAGAGAAAGAATTGTGATCCGTTAGTATTAGGGCCTGAGTTAGCCATACTCAGTATTCCGGGCCCTGTGTGCTTCAATGTAAAGTTCTCATCTTCAAATTTACGCCCGTATATAGATTTACCTCCAGTTCCATTATTATTTGTGAAGTCACCTCCTTGACACATCTTTGTTTCATTAAGGAAATTTAAATATGAATTATAAAGAGGAAAGATATGCATTTTTTTTATGTTTTGAAATAACTCAAAAACTACTGGGCAGATTTCAAAAATTCTTTCACCATTAACAAGCTATGTTATCTGTAACATAGGCTATGTTTTTTATCATTTTTTAATTTTCACGCAGGCGAAGTCGCAACATACTTAATAATTTAATGATGATTTTACTAACTTAAAGAAAATATTAATATAAAAAACTTGCTGTTAAATTATTCTTTCAAATCAAGAATATTAGCAAAAAAGTTAAAAAGAGATGGATTCAAATTCTTTAAATACTGGAAATTAAACTAATTTACATAAAACTTGTGAATATGAAATCACAGTTTCATAATAAACAATTGATGACTCTAATTGTGTTTGTATCTTAGATACAAATGCACAGAAACATTTTAAAGGGCAAACATTTCTTTCATATTCTACACTTAAATGCCAATTATCTTAATTAAAAAGGATACAAAATCAGGTATGATTCTATGAAAGCTACTCCCTTGGTAGCCAAATCCTTTCTCATGTGTACACAATGCTCTGAAATTCTCCGCAGTTTTTGGTACAATGTCTGCTCGGAGCATCATTATTATTCTACCCAACTCCTGCTTTCCGATGCACACATCAAAGTATACTTGGGGATTACGTTTCTCTGTAGGCTTAGCTGGAACTGACTGAAAGGTATTGTTAAATACTGTAAGTAACATAAAGAGAAAAGATTTAATGTTTTTATGTAATAAGTAAACTCAAAAACTACTGAACTGATGTCAAAAATACTTGTAATGTTACCATTCACATAAGCTATATCTACTAGCTTTTTTAATACTGCCTGTTTAAAGACACAAGCAAACGCTAGTTACAGATAAAACTTATTAAATCTTTTGCTACAAATACAATGTCATGTTATGCTAAAATCAATATGTCAAAACAGCCATAGTCCACACTAATTCGTATTTATAACAAAACATGAATTTAACTTTTTTTTTAATTTGATTCACACTTTTTATGGCGAACATCTCACATTCATTGATATACCAATTTCCAGTGGTTTAGGTACCTATGTTTTTAAGCAAAGCATTGATAGAAACTTTATATTCAGTTATTTATTAAGAAAAAGATATACTAACTTCGGAAACTTCAGTTTTATCCTTAGCAGTGTCCTCTTCTCCTTCCTTGTTGATTGTTAGTGTTTCACCAGCATGCTTCTGCAGCCAGCTGTCCTCTGACCACACTGGCCTGGTGGAACCCTCCTTTATCCTCTGTGGGGCAGCTACATTCACTCTTATTGTTCTACCAAACAACTCGGAATCATTCTGGAAAGTGAAATAGTCAACATTAAATAAAAAAAAAAATTACGTTGAGGTTATTTTATATATTATTTTTTTTTATTATGATGTAACTTTTGGATTAAAGAGTTTTTCTCTCATCTTAGCTCCTAAACACCACAAATAATATAAACTTCATTATGTACTTAAAATATATCATACCATGTTATCAATAGCAGCTGCAGCGTCTTCGGCATTCTCAAATTCAACGAAGGCGAAACCTCGGTGCTTCTCAGTCTCATAATCTAAAGGTATTTGTACATCGACTAAGTCTCCAAAAGGAACGAAAGCGGCATTCAAAACTTTTTCATCCACCTCTTCTGCTAAACCGCCAACATATATTGTTCGCTTAGAACTTGGTTTACTAGACATTTTATGAACTTCACGAAAGCACCAATAAACTATCTTGTACTTATTTTTCAAAACCGCTTAAATTACGTATTTTAACCACACTTTTGAAACTTTATAAAAGCCGTAAACAAAAATATAACCTGAATTTTAATTGGATTGACAGTGACAGTGACATTGATTTTTAAATTGAAGTTGCCATGTTAATTAACGTCACATTTTCGAGTCTGTCTATGGGTATTCCTGAAAAATGTACCAAATAAGACAACATTTTATTTACAGAAGACTTGTTTTGCAGCACCACTTTCTATTATACCATGGCATTTTTAATCATTCATTTAATTTTTCAAAATTACAAATCAATTATCTGTCTGCCTTGTAACAGAGTATAAAATAAATCAAGCTTACTATACCATTAATAAAAAAGCCAAGGTGATCAGTTCCTTAACATAAAAGAGGTGAAACCATTCAACAGGCGATTTGTTCATCAACGAATTCCATAATTAATGTTTTTGTTGTTAAAAAGTGCATAGGAAGCTATCGACGAAGACTATCAATTATTGCCATGTGCAAACCGGCTGCAAAAAGCGTGAATAAACGCAGTTAAAACCGATGCGCTTTTATGTAATTCCAGAATTTCACAATCTCTGCTTAAAATTAGTTTTTGGTCAAATCCTTATAGAAATATTAATAGAACATTTAATTGTTAAAATTTAGAACACAAATGCATGTAACATTCCCCAAGGGGGGAATGCGATGCCAAACTAGTTTTGTATTACCTGCATAAAATTTTATTGCACAACGATGGACGTATAGATCACAAATTATATTATCAATAAGGATGCGATTGTTAGAGTTTAATGCTTATTTGAATACATCAACATGTTAATTGAAATTCAATGATTTATAACGTCATTTTGCATGTCTTTTATTGACATTGATGCAGTTTAGACTTGTACAAGCTGGTTTAATCCCTCTATTTTGCTACAAAACCATCGCCTTCTATACTGTGACTCCAACACTAAATAGGTCGTACAAATAAAACTTCACATTAAAAACCATTTACGAAAATATTTATATCTCTTTAAAACGGATCTCTTGTATTTTCCATTGAAGTAATCAACCAACTGTAATGAAGATTTCCTTTATTAGTTAATTTAATATACCAAGAATCATTCTAATATATAGTTAACGTAATAGCATAATCCCTGACATCATTAGGAAGCGGTATATTCAATGTCGAGGCCTACAGTTATCGATAATCATAATTGTAAAGACGTAAACACTGTCATAGCTGTCTTAGAATGTAACTGTAATCGCGCGAAGATCGCTTATAGCTTTCTTGTAGCTTTGCGTGTACTGCTATCCAATTTGTTAGTAAGTAATAATCTACAATGAACTTCTAAACGACAAAAACAAGATACATTTCTTGTGTTAATAAATTTAAACAGAGAATATATCAATTAATAGAATAATAACTATAGCTTAGTAATTTAAGGTCATTGTAAAGAGATCCTACATTTTTGGCGCGTAAAAAGAACTCTCGACCAGCATAAAATTAAAAAAGCAATGGCAATCCTGTCTAGCAAGATACGTACTTCAAATAGTAATATCATGGAAACGTGGTCCGCCGCACTTTTCTTAGAATTTAATCGAATTAAGTTATCTTAACGTCTACTTAACAGTGAAACAGCTTCGATGAGAGTCTAAGACATCTAATTTTTACTTAATAAAGCCTTCTCGATTATAACCTTAAGAACAACTTGTTTTCTAGTTGTGAGTACTATGTGCTTGAGTATTAGCAATATCCTGGCATATCAATGAGAGATTTAGAAACTTTTTCTCATAGACTCCTGTCAAAATTTTACTTCTCTTGATAAACCTGCAATTTCCCGCTATTGTACTATCGGGGAAACTGGCGATGTATCACCTTAAAAGCTACAATCGTTTGAACATTAAGAAAGCTGGACAAACACTAATACAACGCGATTTATAAATGTATCTGTACGAAAAGGCGATTAGAGATACACGGCTAGTTTATTTTTATTATTATCTCTTCGTTTGCACTCATTGCCATCTGATTAATTATTTGTAGAGACGGAGTTTGTCTCGTTGTAATCAACAAGGCAATTTTTTCTGAAGTGGCACACCGCAGTTTTCCGCGACTGTACATCAACAATATTTGCATGTATGGGTTTCATTCACAGCAATTTGAGAATCGCTGGGCGATATACTAAGGTAAATAATGTGTCTCATATATTTCAGTTGTATCATTTTCCTGTATCAAGACTAGTGGACAGAATCTAAGAATTGTACAAATGATGCAACTACTTCATAGACTATTATTCCTAGTTACCGCTTCTATAAATTTTCCAATGACCCGTCCATACCCTATTAACAGGATGAATTCAGTTTGTCGCGGAAATATAGCCCGTATGTATTTGCAATAAACACTAATGTCGTTAGATTTTTATCTGCAATCAATCGGGAACGAGTTGCCCACAACCTGATTGTAAAGTTACGCATTACAAATCTTGTTATTACTAAAAGTAGTTGACAGGTAGGGAATCAAAGAAGTTGTATTGAGCTGTTTTTAAACCGGATGAATGTTGAAAGCATACTACTTATTCAACATTTTTGGTACTGTTAAGAAGAAAATTTGTACCGCATGAAGAATTGGCGCAACACTAGATTATTGGCATAAACGTCACATCTCTAACTGACAGCTGTCAGTGTCATTAGAAGGATGGATATTCGCGCGCATTTCTGACTATTGACGAGATCTCGAGTGCAGTGTTGAAATTAATATCGCTAGTATCAATTAAATAAATTATTTAAAAGCACATAGAGATAAAAGATCGCTGCTTGTTTTTGAATTACCTATCAACCTTTAAATTAAAATTATACTTTATTCCTTACAAAATACGCTATCTTTGAATATCTATTTGGCTGAGTTTACATCCAACGATATTATTTTCTAATTGCTTTTAATACGACGTTTATCATAGCAACAATATTCAACCACGATATCGTTTCAACTTTAAATTAGAATTAAAAGGCTTACTTTATTACCATAACAGTTTAATAAAATAATGTTTGTCTTTCCCGGAAATAATTACATTGCTTATACATGAATGGGAAACTTCTCTTTTCCCACCGCGGTAAGGTATCGCCATTGTTTATCTTAACATACGAGCAGTTGACCTTTGGCTGACCTCTGACGTTTATGCTAAGGCATATTGGTTGTCTAAGCAATTGATCATTTGCATGAAAAGTTTATTGCTACAGGAAAAGCTTTTGTGAAACAAGAGCTTAAATATCGCTTAAAGAATATTATGTATGCTATATTGATTAACGTATTTGTACAATTTATTTAACTTATGCTGGGTTTCTGAAGTTTGCGTTTATTTTATCATTACCTTTTTATTCTTCAGTGTTGAATAACTTTAGTATCCCTGGAGTAAAACTCTAGTAATGTAATTCGGAAACTCTTATTATGAATTTTTCGAACTATTAGCTCTACCGATCGGTTAAAGGTAGTTCGGAAATCGCCCTTTAGTCGAATATTGGCCTCTAGGTTAAACAAAATGTAAACTTGCCTTCTTGCTTTGCTTACTTTGAATAATCTAATTTTAATTGTTAATTTAGAAGACGGAGAATAATTACTAGATTCTAATATTATTAACATACTTGAAAAGTTCCTAATAAACATATTTTACCAAGACATTTTACCTCTCGGCACAATTATTAGCATATGGTTTATTTAATAGACATATTTTAGAGCAAGTAAGTCGCGTAACTTTAGGCGCATTTTCCGAAGCTATATTAGACATCTTTATGAATCGTAATGCGGAAAACTTTGATCATCGGCACTGAAACTTGTTCATCAAATATTTGAAATAATTATGAAGTTACCAGCTATCACCCGCGACTCTGTCCGCGTGGAAATAAAAGAACAAAAGTGCGTAGCCTATGTGTACTTCCAAATTATTCTTTACGTCTAATGCAACTTTCATCGAGATCTGTTCATCCGCTTAAAGCTAAAAAATCTAACAAACACCTATCCATCCATCTAAACTTTCGCATTTATAATATTAGTAAGATTTGATGCCAGATACAATTGGTAATCTTACTAATATTATAAATGCGAAATTGTGTTAGATTTGTTGTTGCATGTTTGATAGAGTTTCCTTCAAAATTACGGAATAGATCGAGTTTCGAACCCAGGAACCATAACTCAGAAAATGAACACCGTCTGCCGGCTAATGAAAGTTACGTCCGCCATTATAACGGTGGCAGTAAAATTAAATATTGACCTTGATTTAAAACAAGTTTTTGTAGTATTTAACCGTATTTACTATCGATGGTATCGATCGTTCAATCGTAGGATTGGTGGCTCAGGGGTTGACTTGACTTGTAATCTGCAAGACCTGGGTTCGAATCCCGCCATGTTCCAATTTGCTTTTTGAATTTCACATGTACCTGATATTCTCAAGGTTAAGGAAAGCATCGTGATGTAACCTGAACATATCTGCGAATAAATTCAAAGATATGTGTGAAGTCAACCAACGCCGACTGAGGCAGCGTGGTTGTGTGGGCTAACCACCCCTTAACTTAGTGTAGAATCCGAGACCCTCAGTGGGCATGAGCATACCATGGTTTTTAGAGCTAAACCTGACAACCTTAAATGAAAAAACACATCCTTGTTTTCCTCCAACAAACAACACAGACAACTGATTTATAGAAATCAAAGGAAAATTATTGAACGAAACTCAAACCATGCAATTATATCTACTGATATCTTTGTTTTCTAAATAAAGTATTATTGCGATGAAAAGTCTTAAACAATTAACACAAAATACACACATACGTGTGTAAAAAAATGTAAAGTCTCACGACTATGGCCCTAATGTAGTGGTCAGAGGCAAAGAGTTACATCGCCTGAATTGCTAACTAACGTGGCAAGAATAAAGACCTTTGAGACTTTGAGAATTACTTGTTATTTTGTTTTATTTAATGACATTATTCCTATCATATAGGTGTTGAAATTTAATATTGAGAAAAATATATAATTAGTGAAAGTATTACTTCGTGAAAGTTTGATTATTTGTGCGTAAAAAAAAGTTGTTTTTATTGAAATTATAGAATATTTTTTACTTATTAATACATGTGTTAACTGTTATTAATAAAAATAGCAGTATGGGTATCGCCAGGGTGGGAGTGATAACGGAAAAATGTAAAATAGCCCGCCCATAGTATAAACTTTACGAAGTTAGGTCTACAAGGATAGTTCTACCTTATAATCTTACATCTCACAGAAGATTAACTGGATAATTCAACTAGAAGCATCCAGCATTTAAAACTGAGCGAGGACCCAATCCCGTCAGCATTGCATTGCTTATTTCAATTATTTTGTTTTTTTTTCATTATTTTGTATTTTTCTTTTTTATTATTTCAAATTGTATCGTTTTTGATTAATGTTGATAAGGTTTAAATGTAACCTTATTTATTTATACCTTACCTTTGAGTGACAATAGGACGCTACAAAAATTGTAACCATCGTTTCGACTTTGTCCAATTCTACTACTTCTAACAATTTATAATTTAGGCTCACCACAAGCATTACCCAACGTATGGTCATACAAGAACACAAATGACCACATAACTAAGGTGCTATAACAGAATAACCAGTTAAGTGAGATACACGTAGCTTGCTTGTTTTTTTCATATTTGTTGACTTGTCTCTGGACGAAGAGGGTCAATTTTATCTGGATGGTCTACGCCTTGAACACAGGGTCAGTAACATTGTCCAACGTTTTGTCCAACAACAAGACACGTTCTAAGGATGTTTACTCTATGTAAGCGATTAAAATAAACTTAATGAATCATCGTTTAAATATCTTAATTAAAGTTAAAAATATTGAAACTTAAATTATACTAAATTCTAAAAGGAGTAAAATAAGGTAACATCAACTACGATCTTCGTGTTCAATAAAACTAAAGACATTTCAATTTCAAACAAAAACAATTATGCTGTAACTTTACTTAAGTCTGACTTAAATCGGCAACTTCTACCATGACAACACGCTCACCAATCGATAACTTATCATCCTCTACCACATATAGCTTAACTTTTACAATAACATCTCACTCATCAAAAGGAATGCTCGCTGTTTTTATGTTCTGTCCTAAAGTCTTACCATCTGTTGCCGAAGCCAGAGAGCCGTATGGTGCGGGATCTTAGGCTGGCCACTATAAAACGTGTCGGGCGGCTGTTTGGCGTGCAATCGTTGGTTAGTTCGCGCAAGGTCAAGTTCGGACCGAGTCATTGCTCCACTGCATAGCACAGCTCCCGCGCATCTCGACGTTGGATCCTCACGGTAAGTTTTACCATACGTGTCTTCTGTTTGTGACAGATTACGTGATGTTATATCATTTCGTCACATGTGTAAATCCTGAGCTTTTAAATGAAGTTGAAATGAAAATGATGAATTTTTTTCTGAATCCAAAATTCAATTATCAATCTTTTGTTTTATGTAAAATTAATTTTATTAAGGATTCTTTTTAATTGAAAAAAATCTCGTGAAATAACTTTTTTTTCTATAACTGTACATTGGAAGGAGCTTTCCGTTCTTTAATATATCTAAGGGTTGGTTTACCATTATTAATATTGTGTTAAAATTAAATTAAGAAACTGAGTGTAACACATTAATTGAGTGTAGCACATACATAAAAAATCTAAAAGCTTATTTTTCAGTTACTCGTATAATACATTAACATTTGTATCATGTTTCTTACTGATGTATGTGTCTCATAAAATTTTAATAACATAGTTCATTTAATTTAAAATCTTTTGGTATATTTAAGCTATGCTTAGATTTATTTAATACTAGCTTTCGCCCGCGACTCCGTTCGCGTGGAATAAAAAAAACTAAAGTGAGTAGCCTATGTGTTCTTCCAGACTATCGTCTACATCTATGCCAAATTTTATCAAGTCGTTCAGCCGTTTAGATTACAAACTCTAACAAACATCCATCTATCCATCCATCTAAACTTTCGCATTTATAATATTATAAGTATGAAGTATGATTAATCTTTTATTATTTCCAATGTCTTTAGTTAGTTCTTTAACCGATCATATACAGTCAGCTGCATAAATGCATGTTTACAAAACTTACGAACACGTGTAGGCTTTTGGTTTAACAATTACCAATACACGTTGTCAATAACATTTATTTATGGTCGAAAAATACGAATGAACATGCATGCATAGTTTGGAAACTCGATGTGTATGAAAGCTTCGTTAAAGTATACATATTTATGAAGTTGACTGTACCATACTTCTTACAACTTCTTAACTGTAAAGCAACATACAAAAGTATATAATACAACTTACCTTGCAAGAATTTTAATAAATTGTACATGATTTAAGGAGGTTTAAATTAACATTGCTGCGTAAGTTATGAGGTCAGTCAACACTAATTTGGTAAACGTCAGGTTAAATTATGATCAAAAAGGGAGTGATGACTGAGATGACGTATGATAGTTATGTAAGGGACAAAAACCTGTTGCGCTGACCCTACAGGAGTAGGATAAGGAGAATCGAAGAAAAGAAAATCTTTGAGAATAACATCATCCCTGTTATTTAACTGTTAAAAATGTTTATATATATTTGAGTTTTTTAACAAATGTCTATGATTATAAAAAGCTTAACAATAGATAATACAATGGACATTTTTTTTATAATTTTTATTTACAATTCTTCTCCACGGTCACGCGACAAATTGTAGGTGCTTGAAGAAATTCGACTTTATTAAGTCATTTCGACCCATCACGATTTGCGCCAAAATCGTTTTTGTATTCCGCACCAAGAATGAACGGTGATTTTATTTACACAAGCCAATTTTTTATATATTTAACTAACGGAGTCGATTTTACTAAAGTGATTTTTATCAACATTTGTATAGCGTTGACTTGTAATAGATTTTTTACATAAACTATCGATTTTTAAACGTGATGGATGGAGATGATAAGGCAAATTGTCGTCTATGGCGAAGTTTATCTCAAAGAAATTACATTTTGATTACTTCACGGTTACTGTACGGCCAATGGCCACGGGAATTGACTCGCAATTTTCATCGTATGTGGCGCAAAAAGTTGAGAATGACCACACACGTTTCAAGTTGAAGACCATTGAAGCTTATTATTACATGCAATGAAATTATCAATTGAAAAGTAATATTCATCGCTTTATAGTTTTATCAGCTTTCGCCCGCGACTCCGTACGTGTGGAATTAAAAAAATAAAAGTGAGTAGGCTATGTGTTCTTCCAGACTATCCTCTACATATATGCCAAATTTCATCGACATCTGTTCAACAGTTTAGGCTACAAACTCTAACAAACATCCATCCATCTAAACTTTTGCATTTATAATATTAGTATGAAGTAAGTATGATTTTTAAGGTGCTTTTTATGAGTTGGTTTTCATCTATTTCTTTACTTAAAATATTAAATGCAATCGTTTATAGTACGATATATCTATGTTTGTTTAAAGTAATCTTTAAATCTACATTCAAGGTCTATTATTGAGTTATTTCTTTATTATGAACAAATTTTACTTAGATGAAGATAAATTCGCGTGTGTTGCGTAGCAGTAAATATATATTTTTTTCTCTTGAAAACACGAAAGTAACGGTCAATGTACTTAGATGACATTACGATATTCAATTATATTAAAATTATACGAGATAAAGGTAACTAAAATATGATTTTCAGGATAAGTCAGCGAGATTGTCAGACCGTGGAAGGATATTGTTAAACGAAATAGAACCTTATCTTATTATCATAGAGTTAGTAATTCATTAGCTTTATCTGATTTATGTATCGCGTGTTAAAGTCTAATAATCGTTAGTTGTAAGTTCAACGTATTGTGTTACACGGGTTATGTATGGGATATTTACAAGCCGTGACTTAGGTGGAATATATGGCATACGATTTTGAAGGAATAAGTCACAGCTTCAGGGCCAGGAGTAACTAAGAGAACAACGTGTTGATGTTATACGTAAAGATCGAACAAATCCCAATCATCATCATCTTTCTCCTTATCCTACTCCCGTAGGGTCGGCGCAACAAGTTTTTGTCCTCCACATCACTCTAACATACGTCATCTCAGTCACCACTCCCTATTTTATCATGTCACCTTTCACGCAATCCATCCATCTCTTTCTAGGTCTACCTTTACCGCTGTACCTTCCACATTCATAATTAACGTTCTTCTTGTAACATGCGATTCATCCCTCCTCATAACATGTCCATACCATGTTAACCTTTAACTACTTACCTTCTCTACCAATGGGGCTACTCTCGAAATTCCTCTAGTATACTCATTTCGTATCTTATCCAATCTTGTTGTTAAGCTTTTTAAGAGCCACATCGAACAAATTCCATTGTGGCTCTTAAATAGCTGTGGCGAAAGTTGAATTTATCGAAGTTCTATACTTGAAGAATTTATTGAAAAAATTACATTCATTTATTTCTTTAATTAAATAGAGCCACTGGATATTTATAAATCTTGAAATGCTGGACATTAAGGCTACTAAAAATTAAAGAGTTCACTAACCTTTTGACAGCCGTCAAGCGTGAACATTCAGTTATGTACATATTGATGTAATTTATTCAGTAATAGTCAGAGGTTCCGAGATATGAATGAAGTTTGCATAAGACAAACGCAAAACATATATATTAATAATATAACAATGTGGTGGAATTTATTAATGAAACGAACGTAAACAAGAAACTCTATTGAACGCACATTAAACATGACGTTGATTTCACCAATCATGAATTTAAAAAAAAGATAAGGGCTTAATAAAACTAAACCAGTCTCTTTCCTATACATTCAAACCAAATAGGTATTTAATTATTTTTCCAACGGATAAACTTGGATAACAACTCATTGGATACAGATAAAAAATCTCGCAACAAACTGGTCCCAGAGCGGCCGGAAGAGCGAGTCCGCAATTATCATGAGGTTTTTTTAGCTTACGTCTAATTAAACCGATACAAATCCGACCCTGGCTATGTTGTGATGGGTTACCGTTACATTGCGTGGACCATAGACTATGAGAAAATAGATTTAATTGTTTTCTTTCGCCCGCGACTTCGTACTCTTGGAATAAACAAAACACAAGCGAGTAGTCTATGAGTTCTTTCCGACTGCTCTAATCTATGCCATTTATCGAGATCATTCAGTCATTCAGTGTTTAGGCGGCAAAATTTAACAAACATCCATCTAAAGCAGTGATTTCCAAAGTGGTCTATATCGACCCCTAGGGGTCTATGACAAACTACAAAGGGTCTACGTCAGCGAGAAAAAATTTAGAGGTCCATGAAATTGAAATGGTGGTCCACGATAGTGGATCTCAACACATACACTGATTACTATCAGTATACTATGATGTAAGGTACTCCTTACATCATACTATTGACTTACATACGTCATACTATCTTATAATATCAAAACATATACATTATTATGATTAGTTTTAATTTACATTCAATTTTAAATGTATAAATTAACGTGCGTTTTCACTTTAAGTTTTTAACACTAAACTACACTACAGTTAGAAATTTACTGAAAGTCAAAATCAGGTAAGTAGGGGGTCTACCCAATACGGAAAAACATCGCAAGGGGTCTACGACACATAAAAGTTTGGGGTACTCCAATGGATAATAATATTATTAAGATTAGCAGTTCATGTGCATGTACGTGAGAATGGTGAGCCTTCCTATCGAATTATCGACCGTTACATTGTTACACCGTAACTAGTTTTAAAGTGTTGGCCAAACGGATATACCACTAGAATTCAAGTTTTAAGAAAAAAAACGGAACTTTACGTCCTGGCATTGACCGGACATTACCTTTGTCTGGCTGTTTTAACAGAAGTCAAACGAATGCCTGCTTTGTGAAATTCATGTTAAACAGTATACCTGCGACATTATGAAGAGTTAAGTTAAGAAACAAAACAGGCAGTAAAAAATATAATAGAAAAAGCCGCCGGAAAATTTTAATAATCATATCAACAAAGTTATAAATCTAAAGCCAACGGCAGCTAGATCTTTTTTATGTTATTTAAGCTGAAAGTTGTACTTAGCACGTGCTTTAGAAGGGTAAAAACACAGTTATGTTTGTAACCCAAAGAATTTCTGTAAGGCTGTATAACTTTTACCCGGTAAATATATTGAATTGCACTACAATCAAAAGTGTATACGTATGGATGGTTTGTCGCCTAAATGGCTGAACGGATCTCGATAAAATTTGGCATTGATGCATGCATATTTGAATAGAATATAGTCTGGAAGAACACAAGACACACACACATACACATACAAAACAAATTGATGACAAAAAAACTAATTACATTGACCACCTTGTTGATTTGAAGCTAAAAAAAGTTCAACTTGCAAAGCGTTATAGAAAAAGCTCTGCGCATTGCTTATGATGAGTCATAATGGAAAAACTGGAAACTAATAAATTATACAAGTTTGGTACTAAAACTATTTGTCCAAAAAGAAAATAACTACAATGTCTTTATCAGTCAATACATTATTTAACAGTTGCTTGTGTCAAAACCAACCAAATTTAATTAAAAACTTCCTCGAACATCGACATGAGATCGTAAATGAAATAAATGCAATCATTGCTGCAACTTTCAATGGCATCTCGAAGCTTTAAAGTTTAAAAACAAACCGAGCTTAGTAAAGTTCATTACGCAAGTTGTCAGCCGACGCGAGCGCAGCAAGGCCGCGTGCGGGCAATGACCTCAATGCAGCGCCATCTACTGGCAAGAAGCGACCTATTTAGCTTACGAGGAAAACAATGCTATCTCGTGCCTAGAGAAAATATCTTTTTAATAACATATGACAATTTAATGTTAAAATTGCTAGCCCAATTATTTATGCAGGAATTATTAACTTTATTTTACACACATTTTTACAAAAAACTATTTTATGTATAATAACTTATAGAGTGACTATGGACTAATTTATTTACATACTCTATGATAAAGGTCACATATTTATAAGATGTTTTGTTAAGATAATTACATCTATGCTAATATTGTAAAAAGAAAAGATTTGTATTTTGTATGTATTGAAATAACTCAAAAACTACTGGGGCAATTTTAAAAAAAATTTCACATTTAGAAAGGTAATTAATCTGCGAGTAACATACGCTATATTTTTTTAATATATTTTAAGTTCAAGCGGACAAAGATGCGAGCAACAGCTAGTCATTAATATGACAAACAGCTACAAATCGGAATCACGTCTTTTTTTAGTTTTAAAACAATGTATCCAATTTATAAAACTTTAATTGTTTTAAAGTTAACTGTGTAACTTGCTGTGCTTTACATAAGTGATATTCTATGATATATACGTCCATATATTACGTCATTCTAAATTAGGGAGGGGGTTGGTCTGCGGATGACGGTAAATGATAGATAGGAGGGGGGGATGTTTCGAAATTGACGTCATTCTTATTTATTTATTTATAGTTTATTGTTCACGTACAAAAGATTATTTCTAAAAAGAAATTTCGTTTAGCACACCTAGTAAGTGAGACTGCAAATGTGAGAGGTGGCTAAGGCGCGTACAATACTAAAATAACTCATAATAAACATACAAGTCAAATTAATAAAGGTGATTCTATAACCAAGTGTTTTAATCATGTAATACCCTATTTTTTTAAATCTGCAATGTTTTAATTTTGTCAAACTGGTAATGACGTCAATTTTAGGAGAAGGGGGGGG